TTACAAGATATAATGTGCCACCCCCATGAGGGTAGGAAAATGTTCTTTTGTCTTTCAGAATATCAGAAAAAAAAAAAAAAAAAAACCATGGCTCTACTGTCATGACATAATAAATTGTGTTTTGTGTTCCAAGTTTGTCTTGTGGCACATGTAATGCAAACGTTGTTGTGTATTGTTTTTTAAATGAAAGAACATTCTAAGTAAAGCAAAAGCGTGAGCTAGGGGAAAAAGAACTGTTCAGCAAGAGAAAAGGAAAGAAAAGGATTGGGCCCAATCAAATGGCAACTCTAAAAACTTAGTGGAAGGATAATAGTTCAGTTAATTGTTTAAGCTAGGTGAATGCTAACAATGTATCTACAGGTGAACAAGAAAAAGAACTAAAAAGGTAACCATGAGGCCGTTCTTGCTGCAGCTCCTGCTACTCCTACAGAGCCTGACGAGGGAGCAAGGAGTGTGCGATGTAAAAAGGAGGACTAGGAGTGGGATACCAACCCCCTTCCACTGGGTTTGCTTTGCTTTAATTGCCACACTAATGGAGCATTTAGCTTTTGCAGAACTTGCACACTAACTGTGAAAGGGGCTTGGCCAGAGGTAACAATACATCTGCAAGTGGAACATCAGAAAACGTGGATAAAAATCATACATCAATACTTACAACAATAGGGAAACTAGTAACCTCACCATTGTAATAACAGCCGATCATCCAGTTACTCTGGTGCCAGGTGCTGGACACCTTAAAAGGCCTCAAAAATACCTAGAGAATCACAGAATTGCATGGGTTCCCTATTAATAATGAAAGACATTTTTAAACCATGCTGTGGTCTTCTCGGGGGATGGTATTTGCAATTAATGCAACCAGCATCCAGATCACCTTTAAGGACAGCTGAGTACTGACAGCCAAGGAAAATACAAGGCACTGGGCTACCCCTTGTTTAAACACAACTACTTTGCATACTGTAACAACACTGGCATTGAAAGAACCACACAATCCTCTGTACTATAACTTTTGTGGGATCTTGTAGGTAAGAAACCAAACACTGAAATCAATTAATGCATTAATTACACCAGCATAGTGCCTGTGGAAGTCAGGCCTGCCGACTCTGGATGGGGCCTCCCACTTAAAGCAGACTGAGGTCACCCCGGAAGCATGGCAAATCTTTGTGAAGCAATGGCCCATGCTGAAGTGCACTCAGCTGAGAACGATTAACCGAGTTCTCAGGAACAAGGTAAGAATGGGGCAAGCTCTAGCTATCAGCACACAAGGAATTGTAACAGACCTTTTAGATGGCTGAGTCCACCCAGTCCTTATGGAAGTGGTGAGACCCCCATCTCCCCAATACCCTTCTATGGGAATGGGGAAACAGAGGATACATGAGAATACAAAGGCCGATATGGATGGACCATAGCATGATCTTTACCCTTCTAGCACCTGGTGCACAACGTGGGCAAGCACCCATAGGCATCCCTAACACTCAGCTAGCAAGAATGGTGACCTCCCTGCTAATGTTAAGGCAAGGTCATGTTACTAAAATAGAAGGCGTGGCATACTCTGAAGTCACTGGAAAGGCACTGTACCCCAGTGAATGTTGCACCCACTCTAACAGAAAGATTCTATGTACATGTCCACTTAACGCTTTAACGAATCTGTCTAGGTTCGAGGTGGCTGTTACCAAGAAACTAATGCACGCAAAGTTGGTCCAAATAAATGGTACCTACTGGTATTACACTGCCCAGAAGCACTCCATCAAGTTAAATGAAAAGCCCTGCCCCGCAACACACCTATCCTTGTGCATGACGGTCTCTCGACGAGCAACCCTGACCATTGATGAGGTGCGGCTCTACCGTATGCCGCCAATGATGGGTAACCCAACATGGGATCCAGAATGACACTATGGCAGTAAGTACTTGGAGGAGGACATACTGGCCTTGCAGGCGAAGATTAAGGAGTTGGTGGCTAAGGCCCAGAGACACATTCAGAAGGGCCGACTGAGGTACACTCAGATAGGGGAAACCGTGGACCAGGCCAATACCAAGTATTCCAAGGCCATAAACCAGGCAGTGGAAGTTAAAGCTATAGTCATGGGCAGTGCTATCTCAGGGGATGGAATATCCTGGGAATGAATTTGGGTGTTGTTCTGCCAAATTATGTGGGTGTATCAATAATAACATTCCTACTGGCACTAGTGCTCTATCAATGGTTCTTAAGTAAGCTAAAAACATTAAAATTGCTGTATTTAACCTGGTGGATTAGAGAACCCTACGTTAAGAGAAGGAAATGTAGGAACCAGTTTTTAACCCACTGTAGCCAGTAGCCCTTTGATATATAGGTAAAACCTTAAACTATGATCTGTGGCTAAGCTGTCCCCCCCCCAGAAACCTGCTGTTCAGTTGGAGCAAAGAGACAAGGCCTAGCTGAAGTCAAAACAGACAACAGGAAGCTTGGAGAAAACAGGACGGACACAGAAAAGCAGCCCTGTCTGTTCATAAGCTAGGCAGCACAACACTAAACGGACAGCCATAATTGAATACCATTATCGTGAATTTCACATATACACTCGAGGTTATGGCACTGCAAGGTGCCCCACAGTCTGCATGGGAAAGAGACACCCAGCTGCCCTCTTAAGGCCAACCACGAATTGTTGCTAAGGAACTAGAAATAGCGCCCCCCCTTCACGAGCCCAGCTTGCTAATTTACCAAAGACATATCAAACAATTGCTTCTGCGTATCTTTGTTTTGTTTTGTTTTTGCTTTATACCCCTTGGCAAGCACCTATGGACCACACCTATCATGTGTCGGGAAGACACCATTACCACTCCTATGCATTCTAATGAGAATATGGGGGCTCGTCCCGGGATCCAAGCTTGTGAGCTAATCAGGAGCTGGAGACTGACATCCAAAGATAAACATGCTTGCGTAAACACCCCAGAATGAATGAATGTGTCCCTTTAAACACCACATTCTGGATCCTTATAGAATACGAATTGATACAGTGGGGGAGTATGTTATGGATGATCTAGTTAATCAGACCATTGTGGTGCTCACTAATAATGTGCGGTGCTTGCGTGTGGTATCTACTACGCTTGTTATCTGGAGTGACCAGACACCCAGTTTACCCCCAGTCCGTGAATGCAGGTGCAATGCCTCTGCCCTAAGAAGCTGGCAGTCACATTTATGCCAAGCCAGTGTATCAGCAATCTAAGGTTTTGGCTAAAATGTTTCCCCCAAATTGGACTCCTTTCCTCAGCCCAAAATGGCAAACAGTGTACGATCAGATCCACATCCTTAACAAAATGTAATAAAACAAAACACCAGGTCATCCTCGAATAGCTGACACCCTAATTAAGGGGCATACCAGGGTGAGGTGCAGTGCCCCACCACCCAGGGGTAGAATGTAGGGGTCAACTGCGGAAGAACTCTGTACATGTGAAGTATAGGGGTGGTGAGGCCTGCATTCCCCCCTTCCCTACTACTGATGAGCCAGAAGCAAGCCTCTAGGGACATACGCCATTGTAGCAAGAACGAATTGTAGATAAGGGCGGGAATATAATCTTGTTCACCTAAATGTACTGATCATGTAAACAAAGTCAAAGGACAAGCAGTGCAGATGAGCCATACTGTAACAAGCAATGAGTAACCCCCAGAAATTTCCAAACTGACACAAACAAGGTAGAAACACAATATTTAAAGCTGCACCAGAGCACAGCAATTTGGACCTCACTGATGGGCTTTGGGTACTGGCGCCTCGGAAGCTGAGACAGTCTCCCACTTCATCCGCAGCCGAAACAGGGTTCCCCGGCTAGCAGAACGGAAGTAAGAAATGCCGCTTTTCCTATCATGTTGTTCTTTTAATTAAGGGGCACAGCTGATAGCTGTCAGAAAATAAACTGCTTCTGTTTGACAGATACCTGCGTAGCATGTCTTTGTACTTTGAGAACTCAGTGTCGGACTTGAGACTTACTCTTGCTGGCAACACCACCCAATCTCTGACACTCTAGGTGGAGAGGCCATAGCCCGAGCCCCACTGCTCCAACCAGGGAAGTCCAAATCCAAGGACTTCAGCCCGAGGTAGGGGGCATGAAGCCCCAAAGTCAATAGATGAAGCCCTTGGGCCATGGTGAAGTGGGGTGGGGGAGCTAGTCTTCAGCCCTAGACCCCAGCAGGTCTAAGCCAGGCCTGGTTGGGTCACAACCCATAGTTTTAGAACCAATATAGAAGCTAAACCACAAAAGAAGGCACCCAGACTGGAACTAGAGTATCCACACAGGATGTTATAGCACTATGACTGCACTGGTATAGTTCCGCCATTCAATTTCCCCATGTAGACAAGCCCTTATAAACTGGAGAACTTACAGAAGAGCTTACACATGCCAAGATTCAGTACAAGGAAATTTAAAATGACAAGTTACAAGTGCCCAAAAATGCTTTTATATAGCTTAGTGACCAACACTTCCTAATAGTGACAATGCTATAATTCAGGCTTTTTGTGAGTAAATATTATTTCTCCCTCCTCCCTACACACACATACAGAAACATGCAACTCAGAATGATCAACCTTCTTGTTTTTCTTTTGGGAGATCCTATACAGCGTATAATTTAAGCAATTTAACAAAAGAAAATAAATATAAAAGGTTTTCTTTATTGTTGGCTTTGGCAAAATAAACAACCACAGAACATACTTGTATCTATAGATTTTGAAAGTGTTCAAGACTAACCAATGGATTGCAGTAATGGACATTCAATCACCACCACAATGACTAGATATAAAACTTACAGGATCATATAAACTGGTCACTTCCAACATTACACTGAGAGGTCCAAAGACTAGCAGTTAGGAACCATTACATACTTTAAAATAAATAAATAAATAAATAAATAAAATAAAGCTGTGTGTGTAGGCTCTCAGATCAAACACACAGAATTTAAGTTGCGAGGATTCTCTTCCCTAACACATGTATAATTTTAATTCATTATCCAAATTTATTTTCAGCTTCCAGCTCACCATTTTCTGATTCCAATCTTACAGTTTGATTCTTTCATACTTTGAAGACTCACATAGGGAAGTTCAAATTCTGCCACTTTTTTCACCACTGGGGACAGGTCGGGGGGGAAGGGCGGGGGGAGGGAAGAAAAAAAAAAAAGAGACAAGTAAACCTGATTGTTTGAAACCCCACTGAAGTAGAATAGCTATTTAAGTATGTAAATAAGTGCTTTGTGACAATATATCTTATGTAGAAGAAAAAAGGACATTACAGTACATTACAAAAACAAGTTATAAAAAAAATGTTTGGTGACATTTGTTAGATGCTTCCCATTTCCCATCCCCCCAACTTTAAGAAACAGTATAGAATTTTGTGCCTTATTCTGCTTCATGCTAATGCAAGGGGTAGAGACAAGGGGTACTAAACTGACACATCCAGGAAAGAAGATCTAATTTAGTATAGATCTCAAACAATGCTGAGCAGTTATGGACAGCTGTAAATATGGGAGACTAAACATGTTTTGTGATTTGCATATACGCTAACACTTGTTGCACTTTGTTTCATTCAAGCAATGAATAACTTACGGCAAACACACTGTCACTAAGGCGCAATAAGGAATACAAGTCACACTAGAGATGAATGCTTTCATTAATAAATTTTTCATATATAAAATTAAGGGCCTGATCCTGTATGTGATTACTACTGTGCTTAGGCCCCAATTTAGGAACATACTTAAACATGCATAACTTTAAGCATGTGAGTATTTAGGTGGTTCCTTAAAGTGGTTTGATTCTGGAGGTTATGCTACAGGTTGGCACTATGTGGAAAATCTATTCCAATATGCTGTGCATTTTTATACTATACACAATTCAGAGGCAAATTCATTTGTGTAAAATGTATTTTATCGAGATATTATATAATGAAGTGCAAGTCCAGGATAGCACCTGACTGTCTTTCACACTGAAACCTAGAACTTCTGCTGAGGCAATGTGAAGCAATGGAAATAGCTACAAGCCTGGCTGAGAGCAATTAGTTCTCAGCCACTTGGACTTTATGAGTTACACTTGAGAGACACGGGAGAGGGGGAGAAGTATGGGGCAGGAAGAGGCAGAGCAAGGATGGGGTGCTCATGGAAGGGAGTGGAACAGGGCAGGAAGAGGCGGGATGGGGTGAAGCGGGAGCAAGAAGATGTGGAGCAGGCAACTGGGGAAATCAGAAAGTCATGTCTGTGATATGTAGGGAGGTTTAGCAGCAAGTGATAATTGCACTTCAAACCCATCAAGGGACTGAATACCTGTCATGACCCCAATGCCCAAAATTCTTTCAGCATTAATCGAACATACATTAAAAAAAAAAAAATCTAGATCACTGTAAAAAGGTACTTCTATAGCACTTTGCTCTTTATGGACCTGAAAATACTGTCAGGAGAGTATCACTACCACCTTTTGGAGACTGGAAAACTGAGACAGAGAAGGATTAAGTGACTTGCCCAAAGCCACACAGAATCAGTAACTGAGCCAAACTCAAGGGTGAAATCCAGTCTCCACTGAAATCAATGAGAGTTTCACAATTTACTTCAGCCGAGCCAGGCTGTCACCCCAGATCAGGGTTGCAGCCCTGGCTTCTGTCCGTTAGACTACAACTGCTCAAATGGAGGAAGCACAGATTTATCAACAGTCCATACTGGACAGAAATGCACAGGACTCTAAAAGATTATACATTTGTGAGCACAGACACCTTAGATTTAGAACACATCCAGCTCCATCACTGTTACGATCTTTCTACCCTTAACTAAAACGTGGAAGAGTGGAATATGAGCATGGGTGGCAGGTACAGCAGGCCAGGGAGGTCTAGCACGGTCTCCAGACTGCTAGCTGTGAGGTTTTGGGGGGAAGTTAATGATTTATTATGCCCCATGCAGGTCCGGGGTGGCAGAGGAGACGGTATGTGCTAGGCTCTCTCGGACACCCAAGAACCTGCATGTGACATAGCAAAAGCTTCTGCCAGAAGAGAGGCTATAGTCAGAGACATGCATTTTTGGCTGCTGGGAGTCTGGGGAGTGGAGGCGTGGCTGAAGCTGGCTCAGGACTACTCTGACCAGTGCAGGGGCGCTCGGAGCTTCGGTCAACTTGGGGCACTTCTGGACAGGTAGGGGAAGATGGTTCAGGGCTTCAGCTGACTCAGGGCTCATCCAGGCAGGTGGGGGCTGGAGTTCAGGGCTTTTGCTGACTTGAGGCTCCTCTGAGTAAGTGGGGAGGTCGCAGATCTGGTCATAGGAGGAAGGGGGCGAGGGAGTCTCTCGACTTCAGCTACAGGGCCCCTTTCCCTGCATGGGCAGAAGGGGTGGAGCCAGCTCCACCAGTCACCCATGAATATGAGGGCACAAATGAAAGCAAGTTGTGAGGGGATGGAGGCAAAAGTCTTTTGAGTGTTCACATATGAGCTTGAGATTATATAAACAATCTTTACTGCAAAGCAAAACCAGGAAGAGGAGCCTGAAATAAAGCTAACCTAGCTCAATGTTCACCAAACAAGCTGTACAGTAGTTACTGAGTTACCATGTGCCTTGTAAATTAAATGCAATGCAAACTGCTTATAGCTGAAGTCCAACCGCTATACATAACCCAAACCCACCTGTGATCCTTTGTCCCCCACTAGTGGTTGGCTGGGCTGCATAAAGGGATTTATGAGCTTCCAGCCTTTGAGCTAACAAAGATGGGTCTTTTAGCTCAAGCAGCACAGATTCATGCTTTTGGATCCAGGGGTCAGAGGTTCCATCCCCACTGGCAACGATTCACCCTGGGGTGCATTACGTTACAGATACTGCACATGACTTACCAGAAAGAACTCCACTGCTGTGATCTTGAATAAAAAATAAGCTAAAATATCGTATTAATTCTCTTGACAGACCCATCTTGCATGAGACAACCTTAAAAACAAATGAGAAAGGAGGTCACCTATGCAGCCAAATATGAATTTATACAAGGCCTAGTCACCATCCACTAAAGCCACTTCAAATAGGGTTTTTAACTGTTCCTTTATCCTTTTAGGCAGAAGGAGCTGTTAAAACGTACATTTCAACTTTGCGCAGCCTTGCTACTGGCAACCATGAGAAGGAAAGACTGAACTCTCAGAAGCAGATCCTATTTTGCTATAGCCCATTTACATCATTCAGGTGTCAAAGGAGCCCTAAAAGGGGGAATGGCCCCCATCCCCACTGGCAAAGAGTGCAAGAACAGCCCTGTGCCAGCTCTGCCCCCCAGGCCTCAGTGCAGGAGATGTGAGATGTTAACTGATCAGAGTATGACCACACAAAATCATTGTTGCTACCACTGTTATATAACTGCAATGAATACTATACACTGAGGTGGGGAATCTAAGGCCCTGGGGCTGGATTTGGCCCCTGAGACTCGAGGCTGCAGCCTCCCCACCCTCTCCTCATGGGGCTACAGCACACAAAATCTTCCCCCGTTTTCCCCAAAGCTCTGGTGTGCAAGGAGAATGTGGGGAGTGTCTTTCCTCTTCTCAGTCAGGGGCCATGTCAGAGGGGTTTTTGGTTTTGTTTCTTTGCTTCTCACTTGGGTGCAGCCCCGGACTGATTTTTCTGTGGGTCAGCAACAGTGTTCTCTCTACCTGCACATAGCTTCACATGTGACTCGTCAGCTCCATGCAGGGAGCCCTGAGCCTCTGATTGGGCAGGGCTGATTAATCACCTCTGAAGCTGAGCTGTCATGCAGCTTAAAGGGAATAGGGTTGCCAGGCGTCCAGTTTTGAACGGGACAGTCCAGTATTTGAACTCTCTCTTCAGGAAAAACTGAGAACATATAAATATCCGGTATTTTCTAAATAAGATGTAATGTAGATTGTGCTGTAATGTCAACTGTGTCAGGTATTTTTGTTGAAACCATCTGGCAACCTTAAGAGGGAACACTGGTATTTGTTGAAACCATCTGGCAACCCTAAGAGGGAACACTGGTCAGCAGACCCAGATGCAAAAGAGGTTCCCCATCCCTGCTATATACACTATGACACACGGCCAGAAGGGGTTATACAGCTTGCAGGATAAATGATTCAGAGCCAATCAGGGCCTTGGGGACGAGGGAGCGCGAGACGTCTCCTCCCGCCCTGCAAAGAGCTTGTAGCACTTTGAAGTTCTGTGTGCTCCTCACAAGGCAGAGGAAGTTTCATGCGTTCCCCTACTCCCAGGCCTCAATTGGGGGCGGGGAAGCGGCAGGACCTCCATGGGCCAGATCAACCCACTTGGCAGGCCAGATCCAGCCTGCAGAGGCCCTTTTGCCCACCCCTGCTTTAGACGGTATCAATTCCTCAAATACTTCCACTTGAGAGAGAGTTGGAGCATCAAATCACTTCACTCAACTCTAACTTAGATCCCTAGACGCTTCTCAGATACAGCAGGAAGAAAGGTTCACAGGCCCAGGCAAAGACAATCCTGACCAGCACTTTCACCTTATATGTTCTTGAACCAAAGTCCCCATAACCTGCTACCTGTAATGGATTAGGGATTTGAAACAGCTGCCATATGATGAGAGATTAATAGAACTGGGACTCTTCAGCTTAGAAAAGAGACTAAGAAGGGATATGACAGACGTCTATAAAATCATGACTGATGTGGAGAAAGTGAATAAGGAAAAGTTACGTGTTCCCATAACATAAGAACTAGGGGTCACGAAATGAAAATAGGTAGCAAGTTTAAAACAAACTAAAGGAAGTATTTCTTCATGCAATGCACAGTCAACCTGTGGGATGCCTTTCCAGAAGATGTTATGAAGGTCAAGACTTTCACAGGTTTCAAAAAAGAGCTAGAGAAATTCATGGAGGATAGGTCCATCAGTGACTATTAGCCAAGATGTGTAAGAATTGTGTCCCTAGCCTCTGTTTGCAGAAGCTGGGAATGGGGGGCATGAGGTGGTTCATTTGATGATTTCCTGTTTGTTCATTCCCTCTGGGGCATCTGGCATTGGCCACTGTCAGAAGACAGGATGCTGGGCTAGATGAACCTTTGGTCTAACTGAGCATGGCCATTCTTAATAATGAGGAACGCTTACACATGCCCCAAAGCCTGTCCCACATTAAAACCAAAGAACAGGCAGCAATTACAGTGCCAATGAATTATCAGCATCATTTCAGTTTACATATAGTGCCATTGTAAAGTGTATCCAAAGTACTGTTACAGAAAAAGTGGCACTGGCTCTCGAACAGGACAAACAAAGGCACCAGAACAATGTGCACAAGTGCTTATGTAAGCAGGGTCTGAATCAATGCTTCCAGTGCAGCCAGCTGAAAGAGGAAAGGAATCCTGGGTGTGGTTCTGCTCGCTCAGTTGTTTAGATCTGCAAGGTATTCAACTGTTATGTAAATACAGGTCATGCTGGAATGGGAAAGACATCCCGGGTGTGCTTATGTAAATCCAGCTCAGTCAGTGCTTTAGGCCCAATGGATGGTCAATTGTTAGAATGGTATTTTGCCTGTTGTAACTCATTTGGCTGTTATGGGATCACAAGCCATGTTAACCCTCAATATAGGAATTGTAAAATATGGCCAATGTTTGCAAGAGAGACAGTCAGCCCGGAGGAGGGGGGCGGGGGGGGGGGGGGGGGGGGGTGAGGGAGCGCAGAGCAGAGCTCTGAACCAGCAGGCTTCATGCCTTCCAGGCATATTCTGTAAGACTGGTTCAACCTCTTTCTCTCCACCTCCTCCCCACCCATTCTAAACCAGACACCATAAGAGATCTCTATATTCTGCTGGCATGCACTGTGGGTCAAGAACCGAAATCACTGAGAAGCTGGAATCACAGAGAGCTGAAACCATGAGGTTTGGGATAGATTCAAACCCATCATCAGCCGGCGGCCAGCAGGGTGGCTGGCAGGAGCAAATGGCCGGCAGGCAGATGGTGGGAGCAGCTGGCAGGATCAGTGGCGAGTGGCCAACGGAGTGGGTGCGACACCTCCTATCCCCACCCCTCCAAGGGTGTGAGGTCAGCTCTGAAAATCACCTCAGAGCTCTGGTCTGCCCTGACCAAGGGCAGCAACTGTGAGTGGGATAGAAAGAAAGGTTGGGCATGTGAATGGGACACTTACATTGCTGGACTTGTGAGCCTGAGAGGCAAAGGACATTGCTCAAGCCACTTGAGTGGGATGGTTATGAACTCTGACTGTGGGGTTTTCCCAAGTTAATGCCACATTACTTCTCGCCCTCCATTAACAGTTTATTTTCTACACACAGACTCTGTGCTTGCGGGTGGGGAAGCATTGCCTCTCAGAGGAGCCCAGGGGTTTATGTGAATTTCCCAGGCTACTGGGTGGGGGCTTGAGCCAGTTCTGTGGGAGATGGATTAAAAGGAACCCCTAGATATTGAACCCAGCCCTGGATGCTTCCAGCACTACCTGGCAGAAGGGTTACACTTAGATAGCAAGATATTATATGGAGTGATGGGATTGAAGATGCCAGTGATAAAGAAGAAAGCTACGCTCCTGCAGATACAAATTAAAAAGGTGCGTCAGTTCTGGATTAATAGATTTCCTTGTTCTGTAATTCCTTTGTTGGCAACTAAGCAGTGAAGAGCTCCAAAGGTAAAAAGAGTCTCAACAAACTTGAGCATGATGCTGTTCAAAGAGTGAGGGAAAGGAAGGTGGGTGGAATTCCTTTCACTCGCATGATACAGATCTGCTAGAAGAACATTGTGTGGCCACGCTGTACCACTGAGCTAAACCAGCTCTAGTGAAAAGAAACCAACGTGAGAGAAATCTTTATACCCAGCAAAGCAGCTGCTCAGTCGCAGTGTGCTTTACTTAAACACAATCTGGCCAGTATTCTGGCAGAGAGGCTAGCAAGTCTCTGTGCTTTATCAGGGACTTTGCTTGGAGAACAGATTTAGTGCTCTCAATTCTTGGACCCATGATGACCAGCTATATTAGAGGCACTGATAATATAGGTGGAAAAGATGGAGACTTATGGATCGGTCGGCAAAGGCTTCCCCAGCCGACTGATCTGTGTCTAGACTACCACGCTGTGCCAGATCAGCTGATTGTCGGCACAATGCAGCGGCCATGTTTATTTTAATGAAACGGGGATTATTTAAATCCCTGCTTCTTTGCTTATGCTGGGTAAACTAGTTTACATGGCTCCGCCAACGGAGCCATGTAGTCTAGACATACCCACAACATTTATACTGATTTGGCTCGAGCTAGATTAAAACAATCTCTTTTAAAATTAAAACACCAGTTTGCTAATCAGCTTAGATGGCCTCCTGTCCACAGGACCAAAACAACCACCTTTGGAGATGAAAAGAGCTGCAGGGATGTTGAGTGGGTGAAGTGAAAAAAAAAAAAATCTAAAACTTATCTATAGTATTTGTAAACAATGCCAAGTGTAGGTTTTCCTCGGGTATGCGCTCAAATAGGCATTTTTGACAATGTCCTCTTAAAATATGAAGGAAAGTATCTCAACATTTCACACACTTTTCCTTACATTTAGCAGTTTCAGCAGTGTCACATTTAGAAACCCATTACCTCTAGTACTCTTTCAGCAGTGTCTGATGTCTGGATATCAAGCCTAACATTCCTTCCATCTGCCAGGTAAATATCCAAAGAGGCTCTCTGTGTCTGGATCTTAAATGTATCCTGTTAAAGTGAAATAGGGACATGGTTTATTACTTATTAAAGTCTTGCTTAAGATATTGGTGTTCTGCTTTCCTGTTTACCTTAGAGAAATTAGCTGGGTTACAGGGAGAGACACTAGTACAGGATGGAGGCCTGGTCTACATTTTAAATTTCAACTGACCCAGATACATCACTCAGGGAGGTGAAAAATTCAGACCTTCAGCACTATAGTTAAGCCAACCAAGCCCCCAGGCTAGACACTGCTAGGTGGACAGAAGAATTCTATTAACCTAGTCACTGCTGCTCAGCAAGTTGGATTTCTTACAGAGACAGCAAATCCCCTTCCCATCAAAACAGGGAGTGTCTACACTGCAACGCTACAGCAACATGCATGCAACACTGTAGTTGTGCCACTGTGGCATCCATAGTGTTGACATGGCCTACAACATGAGAGTCTACAGGAGGGAAAGCGAAGTTACTCACCTCGGTTCATTGTTGTTCTCACTGTTGTTCTTCGAGATGTGTGGTCCTGGGGCGACCCAGACCGCACATGCACAATGGCGTCTCGCGGCATTGTGTGGTCGTACGGTCCGGCCCCCACCAGTTCCTTGAGGCCGCCTCAGAATCCGGAAGACAGAAACAAAGAAAGACTCCGAAGCAGGGAGGTAGTGGAGCACCCACGGGGGGAGGGGGGGGGGGGAAATGACACTTCTCAAAGAACGACAGTTACTGCTCCGAGGTGAGTAACTTCGCTTTCTTCTTTGAGCGATGTCCCTGTGGGTGCTTCCACATAGGTGACTAAGCAGCAGTACCCCAATGAGTAGGAAGGTGGGACTCAGAGTCCTTATTTGTCTGCTGATGAGAGCACTGCTGATGCCAATGCAGTATCTGAGAGCCCCCTCTGTTGGATTGCGTAATGTTTTACAAACGTGTCATGTGATGACCAGGTGGCTGCTCTGCAAATGTCCTTGAGGGAAACACCCTTGAGGGCCTATTGATGCTGCCATCGCTCTTGTGGAATGTGCTCAGGGTTGCATTGGGAGTGGTACTCGTCTGGTCATGTAGGCTTCAGTTATGTGCATGGTTATGAGTTTTGAGATGCGCTGAGATGATATTGGCTGTCCCTTAGATCGCTCAACTAGAGACACGATAAGCTGGTCCATTTTTCTGAAGGGTCTCGTACGGTCAATATAAAAAGCAAGGGCTCTACGAATGTCGAGTGTATGGAGAGATGCCTCACGTAACGAAGAGTGAGGTTTGGGGTAAAAGGATGGAAAGATAATTGGTTCATTGACATGAAAGGTCAAACACATTTTGGGAATATACGTAGGGTGAAGCCTTAGGACTACCCCATTCTTATTGAAGATACTGTATGGGAGTGTTGCCATGAGTGCTGATAGCTCGCCGACTCTGCGTGCTCATGTAATGGCGAGAAGGAAGACCACCTTCATAGTTAAGGTCTGCAATGGTATGGTAGCCAGTGGTTCAAATGGTGGCATAGTTAGAGCCCCAAGTACAACATCTAGATTCCATACTGGGGGAACGGGTTTGTGAGGGGGGCTTAGGTTCATAAGGCCTTTCATGAATCTCTTGGTAATTGGATGAGCAAAGAGGGAAGAGTCTTCGACAGGTTGTCTGAAAGTGGAAATTGCCATTAGATGGACTCTGAGAGAAGCTAAGGTTAAGCCTGTGTGTTTTAGGTGCAACAAATAGTCGAGGATAAGGTGGAGTGTAGATGAATGCAGAAGCAGCTGTTGTGTGGCACACCAGGAGACGAATCTATGCCATTTTGAAAGGTAAGTGGTTCTGGTCATTTGTCTTCTACTGTGGATTAATACATCTCTAACCTGTGTAGAGCAGAGGGATTCGGAAGGATTCAGTGAACTAGGAGCCATGCGGTGAGCTGTATGGTATGTATTTGGGGGTGTCATAATGACTCTTGATTCTGGAGGAGAAGGTTCGGGAGGGCTGAAAGTGGATACGGTCTGCATGGTGACATGCGTCGAAGGAAGGGGAACCAGTTGGCATACCCATGCTGGTGCTATCAATATGATTGTGGCGCTGTCCATTTTGACCTTCTGCAGAACTTTGGGAATGAGAACTGTAGGTTCCAATTGAGGAGGAACTCATCACCTAGAGAGCCGGGGCCAAGTCCGGTTCTGAAGCAGTAGTTTTGGCATTTCTTGTTGTGACACATGGCAAAAAGATCTATTGGGGGATGCCCCAGCATCAGAAGAGTATGTGGAGGACTCCATCGTGCAACTCCCACTTGTGAGCTGGAGCGAAGTGCCTGCTGAGGAAGTCTGTGGCGACGTTCATGGCACCAGGTAAGTAAAATGCCACAGGTGTGATACCATGGCAAACGCACCAGTTCCAAAAACGGACTGCCTCCACACAGAGGGTGCGGGAGCAGGCTTCGCCTTGACGGTTCACATGATACATTGCTGTGACGTTGTCTGTGAAGATTCTCACCATGGTATTGTGGAGGTGGCTGTGGAAGTGTCTACAGGCGTTGAAGATTGCCTGGAGTTCCAGAAGGTTTATGTGGAGTCGTGTCTCGGAGGGTGACCACCGGCCCTGAGCGGAAATGGTGCCCATCTGCGCTCCCCACCCAAGAAGGGAGGCGTCAGTGGTGGTGTGATGCAAGGGTTGCTGTTGGTGGAAAGGCACGCTGCCAAGAAGATTCGTGAGGGTCATCCACCAGTCAGGCGACCGGAGGACAGATTGCGGAGGGGTCACTGGCCTGTATAGGTCACGCTTCGTGTGGTTGTATACCAATGCTGACCAATACTGAAGGGTGAGAAAGTGTAGTCTGGCGTAGCGTACCATGTAAGTTGTAGCCGCCATATGACTCATGAGTTTTAAACAAGTGATTATTTGTACGGTAGGGCTGCCTCAAGTGACTTCTATCAATTCCTGAATGGCGTGGAATCTCTGGATGGGTAAGTATGCTCTTGCGGCAGTTGCATCTAGGCGGGCACCAATGAATTCCAGGTCCTGAGTAGGATGAAAAGTGGACTTTTGCTCGCTGATAGGTAGTCCGAGGGTATGGAAGGTTCTCATGGTGGTTTGGACCATATCAAGAATCTTGGTACGGGAGCGGCCCTTCAATAGGCAGTCGTCGAGGTAAGGGAATATGATCACCCCTTCTTGGCAGAGGTGTGCTGCTACTACTGCCGCCAAGATTTTTGAGAATACTCTGGGGGCGGTGGAAAGGCCAAAGGGTAGGACCTTGTATTGGAAGTGGTCTGTACTGACTGTAAACTGTAAGAATCTTCTGTGTGCTGGACATATTGTGACGTGAAAATACGCGTCCTGGAGGTCAAGGGCAGCAAACCAGTCATCGCGATCCAACGCGGGTATTATCGAAGCAAGGGTCACCATTTTGAATCGTTGCTTTTGTAGGAACTTGTTCAAATTCCGGAGATCTAATATAGGTCGCCAACTGCTCGACTTCTTTTGAGTGAGAAAAGAATGGGAATAGAAGCCCCTGCCTTGTCTGGGACTGGCTCTATTGCACCTATGGAGAGTAGGTGGTTGACTTTGGTGCATACCAGGGTCTCATGAGATGAGTACCTGAAGAGGGACAGGGGAGAAGAGTGGGAGGTATTGCGAAGGGTATGGAGTATCTGGATTGAACCATCTCCAACATCCACTTGTCTGCAGTGATTGTGGCCCATTGGTGGTAAAAGGGCCTCAAGCAATGGTGGAACAGGTGAGCGTGGTGACTCTTGTAGATGTAGGAGACTGTCTGCGTACCCTCAACGGGGGCGTCAAACTTGCTGTTTATTATTCAGTGGGGTCTGAGTATGGTTTCAATGCCTCTGAGGTCTTTGCCATGCCTGTTGCTGCTCAAGGGTCCATTGTTGGTGTTGCCATTGCTGTCTGACATATGGGAGGGAGGATAACGACATCATCTGTAACGTTCGGAGGGTCGTGCACGAATCTTTAGATGAGTGCAGCACGTTGCCTGTCTTTTCAGAGAATAGTTTGTCCCTGTCGAATAGTAAGTCTTCAACTTTGTTTTGGAGGTCTTTGGGCACCCCTACCAAATAAACGTAGGATGGTCGTCTCATCAGTACCGCTGTAGCTGTGTCTGGAGTGCTGCTCTTGCTGAGGTATAGCCCTCCTGGACTACAGACTTCAGTATGGGTCGTTTTGATTCTGGTAGATGGTCAATCAGCGGTGTGAGTTTTGTAAAACTATCAAAGATGTGTTTAGAGAGATGTGCTATGTAATTGGCTATTCTGAACATGAGTATTGCAGATGTATATACCTTCCTGCCCATTAAGTCGAGTCTTTTTATGTCCTTAGCAGCAGCAGCATGTTTATACTGCGGTGTTTTTTTACCTCGGCTGGGCCGCGTTCACCACTAAAGACTTGGGTTGGGGATGGATAAAGAGGAACTCCATTTCTTTAGGGGGTACAAAAATATCAGTTTTGTGCAGTGCATGCACTTTTGAGGGACATGGGTTTCTCCGAGGCAACGGATGCAGGAGGAATGACCATCAGCGGCAGGCATTGCCTTGCAGCAAGTGTCACACTTTTTAAAAACAGGGGAGGAGGGCATTTTCTATTAAAGTTTTAAGGCTTTGGGGGGGGGGGGGGGGGGGGTGAATACG